GCATGTGATATCACAGTCAATGCTGCTTAGGCTCGAAGCACGGAAAGCTCAAACCTTACTTGACTCTTCATACATCACGAGTGACCTCATGGCTATGTCTCTGCCACCGACAAGCCGAACTATCAAAATAACAAGATCGACACGAGCTAAATTGCGTGGTGTAGTTACTCGACTCGAGCTCTTGCCATGATTTAATTGCCTAAAGCTGCGTCCACATTTCGCGTGGCTGACTTTTGGCGACATTTGAAAATCCAACAGATATAACATCATACCAATCATCAAAATCCAAAGCATACGAGCGGCACACGGTTGCCTCAGCTAAGCTTAATCATTTCACCAAATGCAACACCGGCTTGGCCTATAAATACCATCCCTCCTCAAAGCCAAAGCCCGAGACCAGGCCCCAATTACTGAGTATAACGGTCGTCACAGTGTGAGTCGTTCGATTGGAAGCCCTTAAGATTGACATCCTACCATCATATATCAATGTTTTAACCCAATCATTACATCCTGGTCGCGAACATTTGGTGTCCTCTATCTTTTCACATCAAACGGACGCTGGCGTACAATTCATCCTCCGATTGATTGTGTTTAAAACTTCGAAAGTCTATGATGTCGGCAGATTTAAACAAAACCACGGGCCATGGAGTTTATTTTTCCGGCAACTTCGAAATTGAAGAACAAGTTAGTCAAGGCCCGCATCACAGATTATACGCTGATGAAGCCGTGATCTGACATACTTGTTTTGCGTAGGTTTCAATTGATTTGAACCGCAAGGCTGAATACAGAACTTATGCGGTCTCTATAAATTGCGGGGGCGCTGACGGAGGTGAACCGACACGATACGAAATCAGGGCCCTCGGCTACGGCCCTTTGTCTTTAGCTCTGAAGGAACGATTCATTTACTTCTTGAGGGGTAACTTCTTCCCCAGCAATACTACAGACACGCTCAAAGAGATTTTTATTTCAAAGGGTCCGACTACACGACGATTGGGTCAGCAGACGAGTTTCAGGGGGAC